AAAATATTTTAACACATCAATATGGAGTGAAAACAGTCTCAAAACCTCCTACAAATGCATACAAGAGATCCACACTTGCACACACAATCCACAAACGCACGCAAGAGATCCACTCGCACACGAATCCACGAACGCACGCGAGAGATCCACTCGTGCATACAATCCACAAACGCACACGAGAGACCCACACTCGTGCACACAATTCACAAATGCACGCGAGAGACCCACACTCGTGCACACAATCTACAAATGTACGCGAGAGATCCACACTCGCGCACGAATCCACGAACGCACGCGAGAGATCCACTCGTGTATACAATCCACAAACGCACACGAGAGACCCACACTCGTGCACACAATTCACAAATGCACGCGAGAGACCCACACTCGTGCACACAATCTACAAATGTACGCGAGAGATCCACACTCGCGCACGAATCCACGAACGCACGCGAGAGATCCACTCGTGTATACAATCCACAAACGCACACGAGAGACCCACACTCGTGCACACAATTCACAAATGCACGCGAGAGACCTACACTCGTGCACACAATCCACAAATGTACGCGAGAGATCCACACTTGCACACACAATCCACAAACGCACGCGAGAGATGCACTCGCACACAAATCCACGAACGCACGCGAGAGATCCACTCGCGCATACAATCCACAAACGCACACGAGAGACCCACACTCGTGCACACAATTCTCCACAAATGCACTTGAGAGATCCACTCGCGCACACAATCCAGAAACACACGCGAGAAACCCACACTCGTGCACACAATCCACAAATGTACGCGAGAGATCCACACTCGCGCACACAATCCACAAACGCACTTGAGAGATCCACTCGCGCACACAATCCACAAATGCACGCGAGAGACCCACACTCGTGCACACAATCCACAAATGTACGCGAGAGATCCACACTCGCGCACACAATCCACAAACGCACTTGAGAGATCCACTCGCGCACACAATCCACAAATTTTATAAGGAATTCAGAATTGAATTGAGAATGCTTTTTAAATTCCAATTTTAATGCAGAATTGCAATGTATGCAATGTAAGTTCAATTCAAAGACATTTATGTAAGTTTGTAACTATAAATGCTAAGTTGATCAAGACGATCTTAGAATCATAGATAGAAAAATCTTGTTAAGGTTACTCAATATATTCAAGTTTTCAAAAATTGGCTTCTGAGTAAACTTGAATATATTGAGCAATCTTAACTCGATTTTTCTAAGGCAGTAAGTTTTGCAAGATTTTTTCAAGTAGAGTTAACAAATTGACATTTACAGTGTACAGTGATTGGACAAAAAAATTTGAACACTTGAGAAATAGGCCAGATTTCTTCATTAAGGTGTTTGATCACCATTTGCATTCAATACAGCTTCCAACCTTGTTAGAATACATTCAGACAACTTTTGAATAGTCTCCATCTGAATATTGTCTATAAAAACATCTGCCAGTTGCTTTAGAGATGTTGGATGAGTGAATCTGGTTCTCACTCTTCTCTCCAAAACTACCCACAGTGGGATGATAATATTCAAGTCAGCTGGTTGAAGTTCATCTTGGTGTTTCAACTATCCAGGTTTTATGATCACAACTCAATCTTTATCACATTTTATCATCGGTGTCTGTGATTAAAGTTTTAGTAATAGCAGCTCTTTCATTAATGTTCTCTGTGGTCAGTTTTTGAAGAAACAGGATCTTCAAAGTGAATATTGTGGTTTGCTGTTACATTTCTGCAGTAGTTCTGTGTTGTTTGGACTTCTTGTTCGACGACCCCTATCGTTTACTTTAGGTTTTCATCCACTATTCTTCTTCGCTGATTAAATCTTGCCATGCTTTGTGTCCGCAGTCATGATGACTGTTGTTCTTAAAACACCAAACAAGAAGTCACCCACTTCACTAAGTGCTTGTACTAACCACTGCTGAACACAACTTACACTACACTGATATACTGTACAACCTAAATAATATATACAACAGAAAGATAAATAAAAGATAATCGCAACATTCGTTTTTTTCAGTGTGGCTTACACAAATGATATCGACCCCTATAATAACGGGTGTTCACATTATTTTGTCCAACCCCTGTAGATACGTAATTTCCCAGAATGCATTGCATGTGTTCAATTGCAATTCAGTACATTTCAATTCAGCCTAATGTTAGATATGGCCAATTCAAATTCACACTCATGAATTGAAAGCAAGACAATTCGAATTATAATACTATTAAAAACTATCAGAAAAGTATTTTCTTCTTCATATTTCTATCAATTTTCTGGATCTGGACTTTAGGGGGTTTGCTACATCAGGACCACTCGTCCAGAGACTGCAATCATTTACGACAGCAATGAGGACTTCCATGTTGGCCAAGCCAAGGTAAAGCTGTCCCTTAATCATCATTCAGTAATAAAATATATGAGACTAAAATGAGATATTAAATAGATTTAAATCAATTTCAAAATAATCATACATATATTATAGATGCACTGTGTTGAGCTGCATTATTAATATTATATGAGAATGTACGATAATGTACCATAAATGTATAAATGACCTGATTAGGTGGTGTGCCAGAGTAAGGAAGATCAGGTTACAGTGATCGGAGCTGGAATGACCCTCCATGAAGCTCTGGCTGCAGCTGAGCAACTCAAAAAAGGTACAATTAAATAAAGAGATTGTAAAGTATATATCTCATTCAAAAGGCTGAGGTCAGTAAAATTTTGTACATGTTTTTGAAGGAAGTCTCTTATGCTCACCAAGGCTGCAAAAATACAGCAAAAACAGTAATAATGTGAAATATTATTACAATTAAAAATAACTTTTCTATTTTAATATATTTTAAAAATTATAAATGTCTTTACTGTCATTCTTGATCTATTTAATGCATCCTTGCTGAATAAAAGTGCTGATAAACTTTAATAATAATATAATATAAAAAGAAAACAGTATTTTTTTTTCTGTGTACAAGAGTGGTTTTGTCTACAAAATAATTAGTGAGTTATAAGATTTCCTAAGTCTTAATTGTTAATGTCATTTTTAAATGAGCTGGATTTCATTGTCTCTTTATTGATTATCTTTAGTTAAATATATAGCATTATATTAGTCATAGTATTATTTTACATTTATGTAAGTAATACATAGTTTTCTTTACTGAATAAGATCTAGTAAAGAGTTATTTAAAAGTGCATGCAGCAGGTACTACTTCATATCCTTAGCACTGACTTAAGTTGTGTGTCTCCTGTACAACGTTTCTCATTTGTTCATTATTGTGATGTATGTGTGAGCTTAATGTAGACTCGGGTATATGTGCTTTGTGTGTCATTCCCCAGAGAGGATTTACATCAGAGTGATCGATTCTTTCACAATCAAACCCCTGGATGCCAAAACCATCATCGACCATGTGCGCGCCACCAAGGGTCGTGTCGTCACCGTTGAGGATCACTATTATGAAGGTGGGTTTCTAGCTTAGAGCACATTATCCCTTGTCTCAAGCACATATTTCAGCCTGGCTGCACATCCAAGTAGCATGAACAGCACGTTCAGCCGAGCAGGGCTGTATCGGTTCGTGAGTGCAATTGGCTGGCTGGAAGAAACATGATGTGTTGGCAAATTGTCATTGGATCGGGAAGCGAGAGGCATTGTGTTTTTTTAGCCGTGTCTCATTCTGTTCATTCGGGTGAAAAAAAGACAGAGAAGCGGATGGCTGTCAGGTCTCCTTAAGCAAATGTACGGCCGCGGGGCTTGTCATGTCCTAGATTACACAGGTGGCCCTGGACCTGGCATTTCTGCCTTCGTGCCAGAGGAGGAGTGAGGCTGGATGAGAAAGAGAGAGAGTTTAACATCCACAATCATTCTGAAGGCAAACATCCCCTCTGCCCTGAGGGAGAGAAAGAGGATCGGGATGGACAGAGAGAACGTGTGATCGTAGCAAGGTTGAAAGCAGAGGCATGTGGGGATAAAAAGAGATTTGGATAGTCTATCAAGGCATTATGTCAAGCATACATGAAATTTAAAAGCAGAACATGGTGCAGAAGGTCAAACAGTGACCTTTATGCACAGGTGAATGCTAATTTAAAAACAGGAGATCAAGTTTAATATGCTTTCTTGATGATAAAAAGAGCTTAAGATGGTCTATTTTGCTGGTTTTGGGCACAACCAACTAAACCAGCTTGGGAACTCTTTTTTTTTTTTTTTTATCAGCAGCAG